TCCACTTGTATAAAGTTTTTCTTCTCTTTTTTAGTAATTTATGCAGGAGGGGTTACTAGCCCATTGTTCCCGACATTTTAGTCGCCTCCTACGACATGCATGGCGTATTTATTTATTTATTTTATTTATTTAGTAATTTAAGCATACAAACAGAGGTACAAAAATACAGGTAAGAGCAGCATGCCAAAGCCACTTATATGCATAGCATTACGGGATGGCTTAAAATTAACTTAAGATTAACTAAGCAATGATGAAATCAGTGATAAAACATTATTGTAAACAGATAACTATAAAGCACAAATGAGTATTACAAAGACAGGTCATATGGTTGCATGCATTGCTGTACATTCAGTCGAATGGAGTATTCTGTTAGATTGGGTTTTAGGTTTAACATTTGTGTGATATAATTGTGAGTAACATATAGGATATACAATTTATGAGGTTCAGTTATTCAGTATTTATTTAGTTTTGAGTGGGTAAGTGATCTTTGAGAAGAGACTTGAATTTATAAACAGGTAGTGTTTCTTTTATATTTACAGGTAATGAATTCCAGATTTTAGGGCCTTTTATGTGCATTGAGTTTTTGCATAGCGTGAGATGGACACGAGGAACATCAAAGAGTGATCTGTGCCTTGTGTTATGGTCATGTGTTCTGTTGAGGATGGCAAGGAGATGTTTGAGGGGAGGGTTAATATCAGAGTTAAGTGTTCTATGTATGTAATAGGTGCAATAATAAGTATGGATGTTTTTGTATGGTGAGTAGGTTGAGTGTTTTGATTATTGGTGGAGTGTGTTGCCTGTAGTGAGAATTTGTTATCATTCTAACTGCAGCCTTTTGTTGGGTAATTAGTGGTCTGAGATGGTTAATTGTTGTTGAGCCCCATGCACAAAATCCATAGGTGAGATAGGGTAAATAAGAGAGTGATAAAGGGCCAGGAGGGCTGACTGTGGAACATAGTACCGTATCTTCGATAGTATGCCTACAGTCTTGGAGATTTTCTTAGAAATTTGTTGTATATGTGTATGAAATTTGAGTCTATTATCGAGGTGGATTCCTAGAAATTTTCCCTCTGTTAGCTTTGTGATAGGTGATCCGTTTATTGTTATGTTAAGAGGTACATCTGTAGCTCTGTTACCAAACTGAATGAAGTAGGTTTTGTCAATGTTTAGTGTAAGTTTGTTAGTCCTCATCCAGGTAGATATTTTCTGTAATTCGGTGTTTACAGTATTGGCTAGCGTGACTGGGCTCGGGTGAGAGAAGACGTATGTAGTGTCATCTGCAAAAAGTGTGGGTTTGAGTAATTGCGAAGCATTTGGTAGGTCATTTATGTATAGGAGGAAAGAGAAGAGGGCCAAGGACACTTCCCTGTGGGACACCAACTGTAATTGGTTGTGCGGAAGAGCTTGCCCCATTTGCGTACACATATTGGCTTCTGTTGCTGAGGTAAGACTTGAGGTAGTTGAGGGAGTGCCCTCTAATACCATAGTGTGACAATTTTATGTGGAGCAAGTCATGGTCAACTGTATCAAAAGCTTTACGCAAGTCAATGAAGATCCCCAGTGGGACTTCTTTTTCTCTATTGCAGTGTATATATGTTCTAGCATGTGTATAATAGCATCATTAGTATTTTTATTAGGCCTGAATCCAAATTGGCAGGGTTGAGATGAGTTTTGGGAGATGAGGTAGGAGTAGATTCGTTTATGAATTAATTTTTCGAAGATTTTTGAGAGAGGGTGTAAATTGGATATTGGCCTATAGTTATTCAACTCTGTTTGGTCTCCTCCTTTATGGATCGGGGTGACCCTTGCTATTTTGAGAACTGTAGGGAAGGTGGAGAATTCAATGGATTTGTTAAAGAGTGGGTTTCAATGATTTGGGGATAGTACTTGTGACGCTTTTTTGTATATAAAGGGTGGTAAGTAGTATTTAAATTTCCTGCCTTGTTTTTCAGTGCGTTGATAATAAGGGAGACTTCGTATGGGTTAATCGGAGCTAGGAACAGTGTGTTCGGGTAGTTGCCAGTGAGGTAGTCATTTGGTGGGGTATCTGAGCAAGGTTTTGACCTATAGTGGAGAAGAAATCATTGAGTCTGTTTGCTGTTTCTGTTGGTGGGAGTTGGGGTTCATCTGATTTTGCTAATTTTATTTCGCTATGTCGTGATATCTTTTTTGTTCCCAGAATTTCTGATAGGGTCTTCTAGGTCTTTTTTATATCACCTCGTAAGTTGGATAATCTGTTCTCATAATACAATTTTTTTGCCCTTCTTATCAGGCTGGTTAGGATTGACGAGTAATGTTTTGTTTGGTCTCTGGTTATGTGACCCATTCTGTACTGTTTTTCATATCGGTGTTTTGTATTTATGGATTTGAGAATGCTGGGTGTTAGCCAGGGACTGTTCAGTCTCTTAGCTGTCATCTGTTTAGTTTTTTTAGGGCAGTGCTTGTTATAAAGGTATTGGGTCTTTTTTAGAAAATTATTAAAACATTCGTCAATATCTGTATAGATTTCTAGCTCAGTGTGCCAGTCAATGTTTGTTACTGCTGTTGTGAAGTTATTTAAAGGCTGCCTCATTGTGAAGTCTGAAGGTGACTTTAGTAGTGTCTTGGGGTAATTTACCAAGAGTTGTTATGAGGAAAGTAGGGTAGTGGTCTGTGGTATTATCTGTAATTATGCCTGATTTTAAAGGGGATATGGTGTTGGTCCAGATGTGGTCAAGTTTGGGAAACACTAGTCTCTGTAACTCTTGTAGGTTTTGTTACTGTTGGTAGCAACATGCAGTTACTCATTGTGTTTGTGAATTCAGTAACGTGTGGGTCCTGGTCTTGCAGGAGATTTATATTGAAGTCACCTGAGAGTAGTAAGTGATCTTTGTTCATGCGTGCATCAGTTATCATACTTCCTAGGTTTTGACTAAATTGGCTAATGTTTGATTGTGGAACTCTGTAGATGTTTATCACTGTGAGAGGTTTTTGTAGGTATTTGGATTTTAATTTATCTATTATATATTCCCCATGTTCATCCCTTGTGCAAGTATTAGTATGGAGTAAAGATTTCTTTCCTCTTTCCAATGGACATAAAAGGAAATAAAAAGAACAAAAACTATTAAGAAAAAATAAAAAAAAATCAGATCGGTCTGTATATATATATGCGTGTTCATGTAGATGTAGTGAGTCAAAGTGTAAGTAGAAGTACAGAGACGCACCTGTTTTCCTGCTTGTTTATGAGACATAAAGAAAAAAGACACCGGCATTCCTGCCATTGTGTCAGTCAAACAACTGCAGGTTTCCATTTCACCTGTGTTTTGCAGGACGGTAGTACCTACCTGGGTGGTTGCTGTCTACCAACCTACCACAGGACGGTAGTACCTCCCTGGGTGGTTGCTGTCTACCAACCTACCACAGGACGGTAGTATCTCCCTGGGTGGTTGCTGTCTACCAACCTACCACAGGACGGTAGTATCTCCCTGGGTGGTTGCTGTCTACCAACCTACCACAGGACGGTAGTATCTCCCTGGGTGGTTGTTGTCTACCAACCTACCACAGGACGGTAGTATCTCCCTGGGTGGTTGCTGTCTACCAATCTACCACAGGACGGTAGTACCTCCCTGGGTGGTTGCTGTCTACCAACCTACCACAGGACGGTAGTACCTTCCTCGGTGTCTGATGTCTACCAACCTACCACAGGACGGTAGTACCTCCCTGAATGGTTGCTGATTACCAACCTACCACAGGACGGTAGTACCTCCCTGGGTGGTTGCTGTCTACCAACCTACCACAGGACGGTAGTACCTCCCTGGGTGGTTGCTCTGTAGCAACCTACCACAGGACGGTAGTACCTCCCTCTGTGGTTGCTGTCTACCAACCTACCACAGGACGGTAGTACCTCCCTGAGTGGTTGCTGTCTACCAACCTACCACAGGACGGTAGTACCTTCCTGGGTGTCTGCTGTCTACGAACCTACCACAGGACGGTAGTACCTCCCTCGGTGCTTGCTGTCTACTAACCTTCTACCAACCTACCACAGGACGGTAGTACCTCCCTGAGTGGTTGCTGTCTACCAACGTACCACAGGTCGGTAGTACCTCCCTGGGTGTCTGCTGTCTACGAACCTACCATAGGACGGTAGTACCTCCCTCGGTGCTGAGTAGTAGGCTGGTAGAATATACACAAAAGTGTATATTCGTGCATGCATACAGATAAGAATACATATGCATACATATACATGGTATAAACCTTGGTACTTGTACTTGTCGATACATATACATACCCATACTCATACAATAGTTATTGTACATATACACCTGTATACATTTTGACACACCTACATATATTTTATATTTGGTGCATTAGAAACGTAAAATCTTCCTGCACTATTTATTCCTTTTGCGTTCACTGAGGAAGTGGTGAGTACCCTTGTGATATTCAAAGATATATTTTCTAGGATAGCGCAGCGGCCGTACTATCTAATTTATTTTTATTATATGTTATTTATTATTATTATTATTATTATTATTATTATTATTATTATTATTATTATTATTATTATTATTATTGCATGCTTTATATCTTGGCTAGCATGGGCCAGTAGGTTTACCACAGAGCTCCCCTATTATTATTGTCATAATAATTTGTGTTGTGAAGGAGAAGCGCTAAACCATCTGGATTTGTAGAGTACCTAACAATGAGGAACAATCCGATTTTATTCAAGCAAAAGAAGGGCAATTCCAATTCTTTGTATTAATACCTTTTCAACAACATCAATACAGATTCTGAAGGAGCTATAGATAAGAGCTTCAATAATATAATGCTTAGAACATGAAGATATATCAATTATATTAAAAAAAGTTTTTATATGTTAAGGTTTCTTTTAAAGTTGTGACTATAAGAACGTGACTGTGTTAGTAAATATTTCATAATTTTAGTTGTGTGTGTGTTGTGGATGGTAGACTTGTAATCCTTGATTAGCTCATAAGTAAGTTTACAATGTCTGGTTGTTTCAGAAGTCTTCCAAGCAATAATTTGTTCAGCTCGTGTATGGAAACATCATACTTCCCTCGTCCGTGCCTGGGCAGGACCCTTTCCCCTAGTGCAAATGACCAACTGCAGAACTGCAGAGGTAACTAACACACTGACACAGTGTGTCTCTGCTTCCTAAACTGAGTTTATAGGCATACCATTTTACGGTAAAAACTTAACATCTTACTTATATTGACCAGTAAGGAGATGTGATTAAGCAAAAAGAGAAAAACTAACCTGTCTTTACTAATAAAGTATAGAACACGACTGAAATAATCCCCGATTACAATTCTATCCACTTGATGGTAATTATAAGTTAATCAAACCATAGATAATAATTATTTTCTGGCCAACTGCACTCTAATCATGTATTTATCTAATCAAAATTTGAAGGTACCCAAGGATTAAAAATTAATATTATCTTACATCTTTTCTAATTCTAAACTTATCCAATTTGAATCCATTATATTGTCTTCTTTCTTGGAATGAAATTCTCAGGACTTCATTTGTATCTCCTGTGTTTATGCCCATCAACCATTTATACACTTCAGTCATGTTTTCCCTCAGTCTTCATCTTACAGTAGAATGTAGTTTAAAGGATTTCAGTCTTTCCTCATATGGAAGATTTCCTGTGCAATAGATAAATTTTGTCATTTTTCTCTCAACGTTTTCTAATTTATATCCATTCTATAATATGAAGACCAGAACTGAGCTGCATAATTTAAGTGAGTAATTACTAATGGACTCCCGTTTCTTATACTTCTTGATATAAATCCCAGTAATCTGTTAGCCTCATTACGTATGGATAGGCATTGCTGACTTCCCTTCAGGTTCTTGTTTACCATAACTTCTATGTTCTTTTTGCATTCTGTATGGCCAAGCTGTATATTATTTTAGTGCTAGTCATACTAACATTACAAAGCATCAGGACTTTGCATTTGTCTACACTGAGCTACATCTGCTATTTTTTAGATCATGAACTTAGCTTGAAGTACGGTGGCATCTTGATCTAAATCAATAATCTTGCTGATTTATGTAGCGTCAGCGAATTTGCTCATTTCAGTTGTAATTCCCTCGTCAGGGTCATTAATGTACATTATGAACAACAATGGATCTAAAACTGATCCTTGTGGAATACAGTTTGTGACTGATCTCCACTCAGATTTCACCTCATTTATACAGACTCTCTGCTACCTGTTGGTTACCCATGCCTCGATCCATGACAAGACATTTCCCTCAATACCACTAGCTGCCACTTTCTTTAAAAGTCTTTTGTGTGGTACTCTATCAGGAGCTTTACTAGAGTCTAGATATATAACATCCAATTTATCATGATCAACTGCCTCAAAATCTGTACTGAAATCAGTAAATTATTCATGCATGAATGACCCCTCGTGAATCAATGCTGAGTATCTTAAATCAAATTGTGCTTCTCAAGATGGCTTCTAATTATCAGATATAATGGGCTCTAGTAATTTGCCTGCAGTTGAGGTCAGGTTTTGGACGTTAAGTTGCTTTAAAAATAGGAATTTCATTACCCATCTTCCACATATCAGCTCTTTCAGAAATACACTTTCTTTGGGAAGTGATAATCCTTCGTTGGCACTGTATAATACCAGTTACATTGAGGGCGTTCGTCCTACTTCCTGGACCAATAGTCTCATAGTGCCTATCCCAAAGCCCCAACAGCCTGATACATTTAGATCGATCTCCTTAACTAGTTGTCTTTGTAAAACTTTTGAAAGAATGATACTTAACAGATTGTACTACAGAATCAGACACCAACTTTATCCCTACCTCTATGGGTTCATGAAAGGTAAAAGTATGCAGAACTGTATTTTCACCTTTCTCACTGCACACAACTCTACTAGTTTTACCACTTTTCTTGATCTAAAATCTGTATTTGATATTGCGAACAGAACCGTTATACTACATAAATTAGCCAATATGAATATTGGTGGTAGCTTACTCTGCTGGATAATAGGATACCTGTCAAATAGAGTATCCTCTGTCCTCTACCAAGGCTTTAGAAGTGAGTCTAAAGAAATGTCCCTAGGTACACCGCAGGGAGGAGTTCTCAGTCCCATGCTATTTAATATTCTGATTAATACTCTCCTAAATACTCTTCCTGCCTCACCTAAACATATAGCTATAATCTATGCTGATGATATCATGATCCACACAACAGGGCATAAGAAGATGAGTACCATTCTTAATGAAGTTCAAGCAATTTGTAATCGACTAGGCCTCATAATATCTTCCTCTAAAACAAAGATATTAACAAGCAAACGACATCCCTCACCCATCTATTTGCAGGGTGAAAACAATAGCTACGTTAAAACTTACAGATATCTTGGTGTAGATGTACCCTTTAACAAATCCACTATACCACAACTAAATCAGAAATGCAAAGATAGGCTAAATGCTCTCAAAGCTGTTGCTGGCTACAACCCCAACTATGCTGCTAATGTGAGAATCGTGAGAATGATGTACATAGCCCATGTTAGGCCCTTAATTGATTATGCTGCTCCCATGTTGATATTAGCTAGAGAAAGTTCTCTCTGACCCTTGGAGTTAATGCAAAATGAAGCTTTCAGAATTATTCTTGGCTATCCCAAATCTACAAAGGTTCTTAATATGAGGAAGGAGTTTGGTATTTCTAGTATCAGTGATAGGATTGTTGAGATTAACACTGCACTCTGTATTAGAATGTTAAGAAATGAACCAGACACTGTCACAATGAATCTTACTAAGTGTCTCGAAGTTAATACCCACAGATCTAAATGGATTGTGAAAAACGTGCAATTGCATAAGTTTTATAATCTGTAAGAACTGTATCACTGTAGACAACAAGAGCATTTCACCCCTCCATGGAAGATGTGTTCATTTAATATCACATACTTGCAAGTCCCTCCCAAGAAGCTCATTGTTAGTAATCCCTTCCTTAAATCACTTGTTAAAACAACTGCTCAAGAAGAAATTTCTCGCCTAACTGGTAGTAATAAGTTATCACAAGTTATATACACTGATGGATCTAAACAGGAGTCTTCTGGCAGGGCTGCATCTGCTCTTGTTGCCACCTCCCTAGTTAAGAACGATAATAAACTTGTTGAACTCGGCATAAGAATGAACAACTGGGCGTCTACATTGCAAACTGAATTGTTTGCAATCCTAATGGTGCTAAAGCAACTTATGACACTGAGCTTGACTCTATCATCATTACTGATTCTATGTCATCACTGAATGCTCTTAACTCATATAATGACTCCAACAACATGCTCATTGGAGAAGCCAGGTATAGACACTCAAAAATCAGGGACAAAGGAATTAATGTACAATTGCTGTGAATCCCATCACATATTGGATTACTCCTTCATGATAAAGTTGATATGTTAGCCAAGGAGAGTACCCAGAAGGAGAATGTAGAATATAACTTTGGTATATCTGTGTCTACCACTAGAAATAATAGTAGGAGAGAAGTAAATAATGAAAATGATTGTTATAGGAATGCAGTTAGAAGCCTGAGTAGATCTATAACCCACAATGATAACATGAACATAGATAAGTATGTTTATGGAGCAACTTGCAATGTGAACACTGACTGATGTTGTAGTGGCCAGATTCTATCCAAACAGACTCTGTATTTGTTACTTCAGACTTAATACCCGTTTTTATGTAACAGTTCAAGCGATCTCGGACATACAATGCCACCCCACCCCCCTTCCCAATACTTCTATCTACTTGGAACAATTTAAAACCCTGAATGTGACATTCCCAGGCATGTCCCGACTTTTTTAATTAAACCACGTCTCAGTTATGGCAAATACATCAATGTTACCTGCACTAGCAACTAATCTCAACTCGTCCATTTTATTCCTAGCACTACGGTTATTAGCATAATAAACATTGAAAGACTCTCCTTTCTCTTTACCCTTCCTGCTCATTTCTGTTTTTCTACTAAATCTATTACTTTCCTTATCACCTAGTGTCACTGGCTTTTCAATATCTACCTCGTTCTGCTTAATACTAGTTCCCCTAGAACTCATAATATTACTACACTGGGACTTCACTGTTTTCCTGCCAAAACCCATACCTTAAATCGTGTTGGAAATGAGGGTGCTGAATTTCTCTGTCTCTAGGTTTACCATGAAGAGATAGGCAAGGATCTCCTAGTGTTTGCTTAAGTGTCTTTCTATACCAACTTGTCAGTATTTATTACCAAGTTTATACCATAGTCATTTATAACGTATGGTGACACCGCCGCCTGTGGCATGCCTGCTCACGTTCAGTAAATTTTTATATTTTTTTCCGTTTTTTTTTTGCTATTGTATTATTCTTTCTAATATAATAATTAACGATTTAACATCATAACAGAGTGGGTGGAGCTAATACACATTCTGAGAGCCAATCAGGAACCGTCTGGGAACATTTACTTAGATCAGCAGGAATTCCTGAGTCTTGTGATGTGGGGGAATATGTCTCATCATTACGCTGATATCAACACTATGGTTTATTTATCTATCAAAACTGATCTAATATGACATAAGGCAATATGTAAATAACATAGAAATATGATAGGTGCTCTAGAACAGCGGTTCTTAACCTGGGGTCGTGACCCCCTAAGGGATCATTTGGGGTTTCTTGGGGGTCACAAAGGGTTCAGGAGAATATAATTTATTTTCATATATTTGAATTAGGCAGTTGGGCTTTTACTAGCTTGATGAGTGGCAACATTTATCACATGTGCAGTGGCCGAAAGGCGTGTCTCTGACAGGTATTTGCTAAGGCACGGTGTGACCATATAATTGGTTATATTAGGTCTCCCCAGAGACCTCACCAGCCCAGTTGAACTACATCACATGCTACAGTAAACACATCAACCACAACCACTCAGTCAGTTCATAGCTATAGAGGGGGATGTCCGTATGTCGCTCTTGTTCCGTGACTCCCAAAGCAGTTTCCTGTTTGCACTATGTCTGCCAAGAAGCGAACGTACAATGAAGTCCTTCTCAAGATGAGTTTCACAAGCATCATTCAGAACTCTGTGGTCAAGCCGCAATGTGTCATGAGTCCCTAGAATAGAAAACCAGGCAAACTGAA